CCCCAGGTGAGCTCAGGTGAGGGACAGGTGAGCTCAGGTGACCCCAGGTGACCCCAGGTGACCCCAGGTGACCCAGCTGACCTCTCCCCTGCCCCGCAGGGAGCTCCAGCTCCGTTTCGGGGTGAGGGGCAGGTGACCCAGGTGAGCTCAGGTGAGGGACAGGTGAGCTCAGGTGAGCTCAGGTGACCCAGGTGAGCTCAGGTGACCCAGGTGACCCAGGTGAGGGCCAGGTGACCCAGGTGACCCCGCTGACCTCTCCCCTGCCCCGCAGGGAGCTCCAGCTCCGTTTCGGGGTGTCGGAGCCGCCGGCCGTGGTGGTGCTGGGCCCCGGCGGCTCCGTCCTGGCGGGAAACGCCGTGCCCGAGATCGGCCAGGCCGGAGCCGCCTGCTTCCAGCGCTGGCGGGAAGCGGCCGAGCTGCTGGACAGGAACTTCCAGGAGCCCCAGGAGGCCGAAGGCTCCGTCCGGCGCAGCCTGACAGAGCCCCTGAGGAGACTCAAATACCGGCTGAGGGAGCGGCAGGAGGAGGAGGAGGAGGAGGGAAAGGAGGAAGAGGAAGGGGAGTAGAGGATCGGATGGGAAATGCCGGGAAAAGGGAGGAGGAGGAGGAAGAGGAGGAGGAAGAGGAGGAGGATGAAGAAGAGGAGGAAGAGGAAGAGGAGGAGGAGTTTATGGAAAAGAAGAAAGGAAGAGGAGGAGGATGAAGAGGAGGAAGAGGAGGAGGAAGAGGAGGAAGAGGATGAGGATGAGGAAGAGGAAGAGGAAGAGGAGGAGGAGGAGGAAGAGGAAGGGGAGTAGAGGATCGGATGGGAAATGCCGGGAAAAGGGAGGAGGAGGAGGAAGAGGAGGAGGAAGAGGAGGAGGAGGAGGAGGAGGAGGAGTTTATGGAAAAGAAGAAAGGAAGAGGAGGAGGATGAAGAGGAGGAGGAAGAGGAAGAAGAGGAGGAAGAGGAGAAAGAGGAGGAGGAGGAAGAGGAGGAAGAGGAAGAGGAGGAGGAGTTTATGGAAAACAAGAAAGGAAGAGGAGGAGGAAGAGGAGGAGGAAGAGGAGGAGGAAGAGGAAGGGGAGTAGAGGATTGGATCAGAAATGCCGGGAAAAGGGAAGAGGAGGAGGAAGAGGAGGAAGAGGAGGAGGAAGAGGAGGAGGAAGAGGAGGAGGAAGAGGAGGAGGAGTTTATGGAAAAGAAGAAAGGAAGAGGAGGAGGAGGATGAAGAGGAGGAAGAAGAGGAGGAAGAGTAATGGATTGGATCCAAATCCCAGAAAAAGAAGGGAAGAGGAGGAGGATGAAGAGGAGGAGGAGGAAGAGGAGGAAGAGGAGGAAGAGGAAGGGGAGTAGAGGATTGGATGGGAAATGCCGGGAAAAGGGAGGAGGAGGAGGAAGAGGAAGGGGAGTAGAGGATTGGATCCAAAATCCCGGAAAAAGAAAGGAGGAGGAGGAGGATGAAGAGGATGAAGAGGAGGAGGAGGATGAAGAGGATGAAGAGGATGAAGAGGAGGATGAAGAGGAGGAGGAGGAAGAGGAGGAGCGAATTGGATTGAAAATCCCAAAAAAAGAAGGGATGAGGAGGAGGAGGAAGAGGAGGAGGAAGAAGAGGAGGAGGAAGAGGAAGAGGAGGAGCGGAATGCACCCAAAATCCCAAAAAAAAAGAAGGGAGGAAGAGGATGAAGAGGAAGAAGAGGAGAAGGGAATCACATCCAAATCCCAGCGGTTTTTCCCAAAAAAAAAAAGAAGGGAAGAGGAAGAAGAGGAGGAGGAGGAGGAAGAAAACGGGATGGATCCAGCCGGGAATTCCCAAATCCCCGCAGTTTTCCCCCAAAAAAATGGGAATTCTTTGAGGCCGAGTCAGTCTAATCCCAAATCAAATTGAATCTTCAAAAATTTATTAATTAAAGGCAATTAAAATCAATTAATCCAATTTATCCCCCGATTTATTCCCCTTTTTAATCCCCAAAATTCCCCAATTTAACAGCGGGAATTCCCAATTTAATCCCAAATTTGGGAAAATTCCCTTTTTGCGGTAATTCCCACCTGGAATTCCCTAAAAAAAAAAACCCCCAAAAATGGGAATTTCTGGGAATTTCCCGTTTTTTCAAGGATTTCTTGGATATTCCCAGCTCCGGATCCCGGAATTTTCCCTGGATCGGGGATTTTGGATTCCCGGGATCGAATTTCAGGCCCCGCCCGGGGGCGGCTCCTGGCAGGAATTTTTTTTTTTCCCCTTCCCGGATTTCTCCGGGAGCCTCCAACTCGATTTTATCCCCCCCAAAAAAATATAAAACCCAAAAGGAATTTTTTGGGAATTTTTTCTGGTTTTTTTCCAACCGCTGGAAATGGGAATTTCCCCCCTGGAGCGCCGCGTGCTGATCCCAGGTGAGAATTCCTTGGAATTTCGGGATTCCCAAAATAAAAATTCCCCCTCTGGATCTTTCCGAATGGGGGAGGGGAGGAAAAAATTCCCGGGAGAGGAAGGGGGGGGAAAAAAATGGGAATTTTGGGTTTTTTTATGGAGTTTTTCCCGCTGGGTTTTTGGGGATTTGTTGGGAGGAGAATTCCAAGAATTCCAAGAATTCCAGGGTTTTTTTCCCCCCCAAGCCCTGCGGGACTGAAGGAGGAGGGGAGGCCCTTCCTGGGTTTATTTTTCCTGGAAAAAAATGGGATTTGGGAAGGATTTTGGAGGATTTTGGGGGGGAAGGAGCTTCCGGGGGGGAGGGGGAGGGGAATTCCCAAAGGGGAGGGAAAATCCCGGGAAAAAAGGGAAATTCCTCAAGGGAAAACCCCAAAATCCCTGGAAAAAAAAACAAATCCAGGGGGGAAAACCCCCCAAAATCCCTGGAAAAAAATCCCCAAAATCCCTGGAAAAAAACCCCAAATCCAAGGGGGAAAAACCCCCAAATTCGAATATTTCTTCCATTTTTTCCAATATTTCCTCCAATTTTTTCCTTGTTTTTTCCATTTTCTTCCCGTTTTCCCCATTCCCCCCATTTTTTCCCCATTTCCCCCCATTTTTCCCTTTTTTTCCCCATTTTTGTCCCATTTTTTCCCCATTTCCCCCCATTCCCCCCATTTTTCCCCATTTCCCTTCAATTTTCCCTGTTTTTTCCCCATTTTT